TCTTTCAAAGAACCAACTTTTGGTTTTGTTGATTCTTTCTATTGTTTTTTCCATTCTCTATTTCATTTATTTCTGCTCTGATCTTTATTATTTCCATTCTTCTGCTTGCTTCAGGTTTTTTTTGCTCTTCTTTTTTTATAGTACTTTAGATGAAGGTTTACAGAACAAATAGTTTCTCTTTAAACAGTACACATATTGTTTTATGATGATGGTCAACAACCCCACGACAGGTCAACACTGTCCCTTCTCACCCTTGGGTTCCCTATTACCAGCTTTCCTGTCCCCTCCTGCCTTCTAGTCCTCGTCCCTGGACTGTTGTGCCCCATTAGTCTCGTTTTGTTTTATGGGGCTGTCTAATCTTTGGCTGAATAGTGAACCTCGGGAGTGACTTCGTTACTGAGCTAAAAGGGTGTCGTACTCTCGGGGTTTCTCCAGTCTCTGTCAGGCCAGTAAATCTGGTCTTTTTTGGAGTTAGAATTTTGTTCTACATTTTTCTCCAGCTCTGTCCAGGACCCTCTGTTGTGATTCTTGTCAAAGTAGTCGGTGGTGGTAGCCGGGCACCATCTAGATGTACTGGACGCAGTCTGGTGGAGGCTTGTGGTAGTTGTGGTCCATTAGTATGCCCTTTCTATTTTCTATGGTGCTCAGTGGAGTAAAAGATAAAATTGAACACAGGGGCAAAAAGCTTTCAAAGACATTTTAAAGTAACCCTGTAAATTAGTTAGAAAAAATGTGGCTTAATGACTTACTGGTCTTATTCTTGAATGAGGGACTGGGTGAAAGTGCCAGGTCCAACACTGTAGGAACTTTCTGGAATCCAAGTACCAGAGACATAGGGCCAGAAGTGAAATGGCATTCACAGAAAACAATAGTGGTAGGTAGTGTTGGTGGCTGGAGAGAGTGGGCCTATATTTGTATTTGTGGATAAGACATCGTTAATTTGTACCAAAAGTAGGGATGATCAGACAAACCTTCATTTCTGAGGCATATATGGTTGATAAAGTAATTCATTCACTTGGTAAACATCTAATGAGCACCTCCCATGTGCCAAGCTTGTGCTAGATATGGGAATATGAGGAGAGTGGGGTATGACCCCAGATCCCTAGTAGAGCAAATGGTTTGTGCTCAACTAGTAACCTAAAGGCTGGTGGTTTGAACTTACCCAGCAGTGCCATGAAATAAAGGCCTGGAGATCTGCTTCCATAAAAATTACAGCCAAGAAAACCCTATGGAACAGTTCTACTCTGTCACAGGGGGTCGCCATGAGCTGAAATCAACTGGGCTGCAAAAGGGTTAGGATATGACCCCAGTCTTCAAGAGTTTAAAATCTAGGAGGAGCGGCAGGTCAGTACCCAGACATTAGAGCACAAAAATCATATTTACAAGCCTCTTGGAAGCACAGAGGAAGGGCACAGAGCCCAGTGTTACGATGGTCAGGACATGCTTAGAAAAAGTGACATCAAAACTGACTCTTGAAGGGGAGGAAGCCAGGCTACAAGTTTCAAACAGAGTTTTCCACACAGAGGGAGGAGCCTGTGTGAAGTCCCAGGAGCATGAGAAACTAATCGCCTGCAAATGTTTTGTTAAGACTAGAACACAGGGTTCCCTGGGTATTTGTGTAGAGGATAAGGAAAGGGTGGGCGGTGGTGAACACATGAATATGGAGGTAAGTAGGCGTCAACTTGCCAAGAGCCCTGTATACCCTGCTGAAAGTCTGTACTTTATCTTGAAGTCTATGGAAAGCCCCTGAAGGATTTTATATAGCAAAGTGTCAGGAATCAAATATCTGTATTAGGAAGAACACTGGGGCAGCAACATCAAAGCTTGATTAGAATACGAGAAGGTTGGGAGGCCATTACAATAATTTACTTGAGCAATGAGGAGGTTCTGGAAATAACGTGCAAAGAGGATGTGACACATTCCAAAGATATTAAGGAGGAAAAACAAGGAGTAAGGGAGCAAGGATTCATGATTCTCACTTAGGGCAAAGACTGAAGAGTGTTTAGACCAGTTGTTTTTAAAATAAGGTGTGAGCACCCCTGAGGTTATATGAAGGCCCTCCAAGGAGGACCAGGGAACAGGGAGTTTTAAGGGAAACAATTTCCAAAAGCTTAGTTTATGTGTCATTATTCCTAAAATTGTTCTGCCTGAGGACTCACCTAGGATGGTGTGGGTTTATCTTTCTCACATTCAGATGTATCCTGGAACTTTCACCAAGGACGTGGCTACACTATCTTTTGTTAGAGATTAAGCCTGTGACTGATGGATCTACCCAACCACCACAGCAGAAAACCTATCAGCTTAGACTAAAGGGGACAGAGACAGGACAAAAGGATGGAAAGCTGTCTGCCTCTTGGAATTCTCCAGGCAGGAAACAGGCCAAAGAAGCTACATTTGCTGTCTTCCAAGAAAAGAAAAAGACCATCCCTGGAGCAGCTCAGAGATCAGCAGAACTGTTGGAAGGAGCATTGAAAGCAGGGTGCCTTGGTTTCAAAAGGTGGAGCCATGGCCTCTTAGGTTACAAAGGGTAGAGCCAAGGCCTCCTAGATTTCGAAGAGTCGGATCTCCACCAACTCAGTTTTGGAGTGTGGGGCTGCCTTTCAGGTAAGCCAAGGGGATAGAGTTGCTGCCCGAAGCCCAAAGCTGAGGGGATGGGGCTGCCATGCGCAAGGCACAGAGGAATGGAGACTGCTGGGACCGAGGGGGTGGGGTGATCACTCAGAAGGACTAGGAGAATTTTGTTTTTGTTGTTGTTAGGCATCACAGAGTCAGTTCTGACTCATAGCAACCCTACGTACAACACTGCCTGGTCCTGTGCCATCCTCACAATTGTTGTTATGCTTGAGCCCACTGTTGCAGCCACTGTGTCAATCTGTCTTGTTGAGGGTTTTTCTCTTTTTTGCTGACTGTCTACTTTACTAAGCATAATGTCCTTCTCCAGGGACTGGTCCCTCCTGATAACATGTCCAAAACATGTGAGATGAAGTCTTGCCATCCTTGCTACTAAGGAACACTGGACTAGGAGAATGGAGCCACCCAAAGCTAAGGAGCAGAGTTGCTATCCCAGTGTGCCTAGAAGGCAGGGCTGAAACCCAGGCCGAGGGGCCTCCACCCAGAATCCAGAGGGCATGGCCAACACCCAGACACTGGAGGGCAGGACTTTTGCTCAGATAGTCTCAGAGAACAAGGGTTATTTTCAAGTCTTAAGAGCTAATGTAAATTGACTTGCTTGGTGCCTGTTATCCCTTCTTTCCCTCCAATTTCTCCTATTTGTAATGGAAATCTCTACCTTGTGCTTGTTCCCCCACTGTACTTTGGAAGCAGATAACGTGTATTCTAGATTTCACAGGTTCACAGATGAAGAGGAATTTTGTCCCAGGACAGAAAATGCCTAAAGTCTCACCCATATTTGATTTATATGATTCAGAAGATGAGATTTTGGACTTGGAGTTGATTTAAGACTTTTGGGATGATGTGATGAAGTGAATGTGTTTTGCATGTGGGAAGGACATAAATTTTGGGAGGCCGAAGGGTGGAATATTATGGATTTAATTGTGTCCTCCCAAAATATGTATTGTAAATCCTAACCCGTATACCTGTGGTGGAGCCCTGGTGGCACAGTGGTTAAGAGCTCAGCTGCTAACCAAAAGGTCAGAAGTTCGAATCCACCAGGCACTCCTTGGAAACCCTATAGGGCAGTTCTACTCTGTGCTATAGGGGCGCTATGAGTCGGAATCAACGGCAACAGGTTTGGTTTTTTGGCTTACTTCATAGACAATGAAACAGAAACCAAATATAGAATAATCACCAGATAGTGTGTGTCAGGGGGCATTGGTGGTTCAGTGATAGAATTCTCACCTTCCGTGAGGGAGACCTAGGTTTGAGTCCTTGCCAACACACCTCATGCACAACCACCACTCATCTGTCAGTGGAGGCTTGCATGCTGCTATGATGCTGAACTAGTCTGTCTTAGTATAGAAGCTCTATTTCTGAAAATCATCAAATGAAAACTCTGTGGATCACAATAGTCTCTGTCACAACCAACCATGGGGATGGTGCAGGACTAGGCAGCATTTTGTTCCACTGTGCATGGGGTCCCTGTGGATCAGGGGAATTTTAAAAAAGAAAATATTTACCAATGATGTAATACTTGACAGCTCCATTATTGCCAGCATCCATATCAGAGGCCAAAACAGTATAGATGACCTCCGGCTCTCGGTTTTCTGGACCTCAGTGTCACGCCAGGAGACGATAAACTCTGGTGCATGATCACGTTCATCTTCAACAGTGCAGAGAATCATGGTGGAGCTGGACAACGAAGGGATGCCCCCATCACGCACAAGTACTGACATGGAAATAAAGATGGCATGGGTTGTGGCCATTCATCTATACCTAAAATACATTGTCCTAAGTACATATCATCAGACTAATCAGGCAGCACTGACATCCTTCTGAAATGTAGAAATTCACCAACAAACCTCCGCTGTATTCATTGTCCTTTTTTTTTTTTTTTTTTTTTTTTTTTTTTTTAGCGTAGTCAAGGGATTCCTTACCTCTGAGGGTGAAGACTTCCTGGACTTCTCTGTCGAGTGTGGCAGCTGTCACTACCTCTCTCGTGTCAGGATTGATATCGAACAACCCAAATGAAGCACCTGGCATGATTTCAAATTGAAGCTTGGAATTGATTCCTTAAAGAAAATATAAGGAAAAACTTGGCAATTACTCTTCAGAATCCATTTGTCTGCTTTCCTATTCTTTTCTCTACGAATATCTTAGGACATAGATGAAAAAGGCAAGATGCCCACACAACCTTCAAATTAAGGTTAAAATAAAACACACACACACACATACACACACCAAAAAAAACCAAAAAACTAACAACGTTTTTGACTGTTCTTGCTAAATAAAAGCCTCATAGGCTGAAGTGCTTGATTTTCAGAAGTTTTGTGAGACTTCCCCACAGTGAATGCTTAAGATTTTTTCCCTCCCATAAAAAATTTCTTACGAGTGTGCAACTCTGTGACATATTCCTAATTACTCCTTATAACACCCCTGATTGTGAATTAATCACATAATTGTAACCTTGCAGGGCAAATGACGATTTCTGTAGATGAACCCTCTATTTAAAAGCTTGTGCTCAGTTACAGTATTCTGTTTACTCTCAACCTCAGGAGGCTATCACATATAGTTGCTTATACAAGTATTTTTGTTTCATTTTGTTTTTCACTTAGTATTCAGTCTCCATTCTGGAGTGAGAAATGTGGTACCACATTATTATGCATTTTGAAACTAATTCTTCCCATATTTTTGTGGTTTCATTTCTCCCCTGAGAAAAGTATCACATCATTTCCAGCATTGGTTATGAAGATCATTCATGCCATTAGCTTAACTGAGTTTATCCCATACCTTTGTACCTTGTTTGCATTTGACACAAGTTCCTTTCAACCATTTTCCTATGTTCTTTTCTTAACTGTCAAGAATCTAGCTATAGCTATACTACTCTAAATACATGATGTTATGCTTTAATAAAAGATGAAATATCATCCTTTTGGCCTTAACAACAATAAAAACGCTTCAATTACAAATTCCCATCTTGCCAGTATTAAAAGGTAGATTTACATCCCACTGTAGTCTAGAGGATATAATATAGGACTAAATACTGGAAGGAGTGGCAGGTAATTCTAGTTTTATATAAGAATAATTATATATGTTTCTTAGTATGTCACTGGGAAGAAAAAGGATACTTAAGATAACCAAAGTCATTTTAATGACCTTGAGAAAAAAGTCTAATAAGATAGGATCATGTATCTGATATGGTATGGTCAGAGTTTACCAAAATATTTCACTTTATCATTAGGCATATTATGAAGTTAATGATCATTAAATAATCATAGTGATTATTTTGATCATATAATGATCACATAAACTCTTCTACAGCCAAGACAGAATTTCTAAATATTCTAGGCTGTTAAAGTTTATAATTTCTATCAATCTCTACCCACTTTATAAAAATGGAACAATACCATCTTACATTGGCTTTCAGTGTTTCTCAAATATTTGGTGAGCAACATCGGGTGCCAAGCATAGTGCTCTGTGCCAAAGATACAGTAGGAAATAAAAGACATAGCCTCTTCCTTCATGGAGCTTACATGGAGAACCCTTAAACCTTTGATGTAGAATTGATTCCAACTCATGGTGACTCCACGTGTGAGAGAGCAGACCTGCTTCATAGGTTTTCTTGGCTGTAATCTTTATGGAAGTAGATCACCAGGCCTTTATTCTGTAGTGCTGCTGGCTGAGTCTGAACCACCAATCTCTTGTTAGTAGAGGAGCACAAACTACCCCACCCAGAAACCTCACATGGAGAACACCACCTTTTTATTTTTTAACCTTTTATTTCTGAAATAAATTCACTCATGTATCTTATGATTCTATTCTATATTATGCATAATATTGTTATATATTCTATTACATATCATATATGCGTTATATATTGTACATTTTTAATTCCCAACATTAACCAAACAGAAAATGCCTTCAAATGTTTAAACAAAGTCAAATCTTCATAGTTTCTCTTCCTCCCATTATTCCTAATATCCTCTAGTGTGCTTTAGCATTGTATCCAATATTTCTCTGACTTTTTAGAAACTTAAAGATCTCATTTCTGTTATTATATATAGCTTTTATCCCTAAGCCAATAATCCACTTACCTTCTATTCCTCTAGTATTTTATTAAGGATAAACAAGATCTTTATAATTGTAGACTGCATACCTACATTTTCCCCACTGCAAACTTTATACACTTCACAACTTAACACGAGGTAAATTCAGAGCCTTTTACTATGGCTTGTTTAGAATTTAATTAGTGTCTTGCTTCTTCCTCCTCACACCCTACAAAACAAACATAGCATCATCAAACTTGAGAGCTAAACCAACAAAAATTAGAGGTTATTTTGTCAAATTCAATCATCTTACTAAGTATATTAGACTTCTCAGCCTGAAGATATGTAGCATCACCCTTAGGACGCACACCTGGTGAAGGGTGAGTAAATGTGCTCATGCACCTGTATGCACACACATGTACACCTGCTCTTAGACCTCAACCCCACAGTCCCATGACCTCTTCATTTTCTCGCACTCAAGGACACCCTTCAAGTCGTTTCTTTCCTGATCCAGCCCAGACTGATATGTTATCAGCTTGCGAATTTCCTCAGTTTCTGTGGCTTTTTGCCAAAATGTCCAGCAAAGCCTCAACCCAGTACCATTCCAACCATCTCTCTTCTCTTCTTGACTATCCAGCAGCTGGCTGGGGCTAGGAAAAATTTCACAAGGGCATAGATTCAGGCCACTGAAATGTCATGTTCATCTGGCAATCTTTCCAAGTCTGTTTGGTCAACCCTTTCTCCTTCGTATCTCCTACCCAACCACCACCTGACTACTCTCACAGATTTCTTCTCTATTTCCCAGAGAAAACGGAGGCTTGGGCAAGAACTCTCTCAACCTTCTGTATCTAGGTTCAAGTCTACCTCTTGCTTTCTGTCTCAACGGCAGAAGTTAATCTCCCAATAGTCTTAGGTACTTCCTATCAGTTCTAGTCATTCTCATTACAATAACTTTTTCCATACTCTTCTCTAGCTATAAGAATAAAGGTTTTCCCCTTCTTTTTATAGCCAAACTTCTTTTAAAGATGATATCCATTCTTTGCAGCTGGCTTCAAACCACTGTCATTCCCAGGCTCTTCACAGTCACCAATGACCTGGTTATAAAATCTACTGGCCGTTTTTAGTTCTTACATAACTTGTCTTCTCTTTGGCATCAGACACTGCTGACTGATATTAAAAAAGAAAGGAAGTAATGAAGGAAGAAAGAAAAAAGATCTATTAAAAAAATCTCCATGCCACATTTCTCTCCTACTTCTTAGGCTGGGGTGACAGGGTCTTTTTGTATATTAACAACTGATATACTGGTCATCACTTCATTGTTATCTCACTCTATCCATTCATTCTATCTTCCTCCCAAACCAATGGCTTCAGCTTCCACCCATATGCAGATGATGTCCAGGTATCTACACTGAGCTCCAGTTATTTGTTTGGTTGGTTAATTAATTAATGTGTTCATTTGTGCAAGGCACATTTACTGAGTGCTAGACACTGAAAGGATACCATTGAATAATGAACTATTATCTCGGTCCTCAGAGTTCTCCCCTCTAGTGGGTAGGAAATTAAATCAATGAGTTATAGAAAGTGGTAGAATATATGAAATCACCGAGAAAATAGAACAGGAAAGACTTATCACAGGCAGATAGTTTGTTCATTAATTAACTCATTCAATATGCACATATAAAGAGTGATATTAGGTGCCAAAGTACCATGCCAGGTGCTAAGAATATAACTGCTAACAAGAATTCTGTACCCTCACAGTGCTTACAATACAGCACTGGATACAGGTAAGTAAGCAAGCAATTACAATTCTACGTGATGAGATACAGCTGAGTAAGTATGAGCTGCTTTGAAGGGAATAGTAATGAAAGACCTTCTGAATAAGCTGGAATCTTAAAGATAAATAGTTAACAGGAAAAGAGGGAGGAAAGAATGTCTGAATGTATTGAAAATAAAATCCAGACTCCTTACCCGGGTTACAACATCCCATATGACCTGGACCCTCTTTCTCCAACTTCATCTCACGTACTCTCTCCCTTGCTATATTCCTGGCCCACTGGTTTCTCTTCTGTTCTCTGGACATGATAAGTTTCTTTCTTTTGGGGCCTTCACAGCTGCTGTTCCCTCTACCATGTAAAGAACTTCTCCAGCAGTTCTTTACATGGTGTACTAGCTATTAAACAACCGTGTCCCAAATCTAAATCCATTCCTTTATACTCTACCTTGTGATGCTGGGGCTGGGGATCTTCAAATCACACTTCTCTATTGCCAAATGACCCTCTGCTAGGTTCTGTCAAAAAGGAACACTAGAAGGAGATTCACAGTCGGAAGGAAAGGAGATGGGACTCCTTTCTTCTTGTTGGCTTACTGTCCCCATCAGCAATGGTATTTCACCCAGCAACAGACTGGGTGTGGCTTTCAGCCTTTTGGTACTTGCAGAACTAGACTCTATAGGGCCTTTTCTCTCATTTTCTTTCTAGGTTCTGCTAACCTCAACCTCTTCTTCTTGTTTCCCAATATTAGGGTGACAGCTGCTTTCTACAGTTATTCCCTTTTTGCTTACTCAGTTTTCCAACATCTGTGTGGTAGTAACTAGTTTTCCTGACAGCTACAGTACTTGGTAACAGGAGTGAGTCTAGGTAACCAGGATTTTGGGATTGGTTTTGTTATGCCTTTGACCTTGAATGTTCTGCTGAGTTCCTTGCTCCTGGGAAATGGAATACTAGCAGTTCATGATTTGCAGTAATACCATGATCAATCGAATTATCACCTGTATTTGTGATGAAGTGACTATCAAAGAATCATATTCCTTAGAGGCCCAAATGGTGTTGACTTTCACCATATAATAGTAACAAGGAATATAACATGGGATGGTTGTTTCTTAATGTTCTGGAAACTTACAGAAAGAAAATGACAAGCTGAGGCTTTAAATTCACAGCTCAATTCATAGTCAGAAAATCAGAAAGCTTCTATGGAATCCCTAAAATTAATGGCCCTGAAAATCATACCCAAATTGGGTGGCAGATACA